GAAATACTGTCGTATATTATATATGATATTGAAGGGAGTTAGCCGTTAACACTGTTGAATAAATATAATATAAATCGTCAAAGTTGCATATACAGTGTTTAAATAAGGACATTATAGTCAGAGCGGGGAGGGGGGGGAACTAAACAAATTTTGTTGTAAAAGTAGGGTGCTGAGCATCCACTATCAGCCTCATCTTGGTTGCAACTCTGAATGCCCGGAAATAAATGCTGACAATTTGTAGAGCGGCGCTAGCCCCTCCCCTCAAAGAAATAAAATTAACACAGCGATAGGGTCTATGTTGGAAATATGGTACCTCTGGATGCCTGGAAATACAAGCTGGCAAACCTATATAGCCACCACCCCTCCCCATCCTGTCTATTTGGCAGACAAAAATTTAAAGGACTAGAGATATACCCACCTCTGCGCCATATGTTTGAGGCCAAGTTGAGCAAAATTTTTGCACCATAACTAAGATATTGTTATGAAAATATGTAGTACAATATATACTGTACATCGTACATTTACTAAATTTATCTACTGTATATTGAAATATTTCCTCCCAGCGTACACTGTATTCCATATTCTAAGGTTCGTGGCATGAATATATCCCCATAGCAGGCTTCAGGGTGTGTGAATAATGTTCATGAGGTACTCTCCCACATATAATATTAATAGGAAGATATTTTTAAAGGGCATCTTATTCTTACTGGTATGACTGGTATAAAATAAAATGGTATAAAAATAGAGATAATAAAGGCCTATGCCCTGTACATGAGGCTAAAGAGTGGGCACAGAAAAAAGCATCCAGGTTAAAAATGCTATATCTGGACACAGAATGTGGTAGCATTGACCAAATTACAATTCGTAAGATTATTTTAAATCATGGGAATAGACAACTGTTGGTCTACTGCAAAAATGATATATTGTTCAAAATGTAATTTAGTTTCTTATTCCTCCATGAATAAATAAAGTGCAGGAAACACAAATATGTACAAGGAATAACAATGATAACTGCAATTTTATCTACACAACGTGCAGTATTGAGTAATATTAACAATATGCAATTAATTAAATAGGCCTAGAACATATTCTATGAATACACATGATACAGTATGCTATGAATTATCTATGAAAATACAGTAGGCCTCCTATGTCTACACAAATAGCGTCGCATTTCGACAAACTTACTGCTCGTACAATTTAATTTACACTTACCAAATTCAGTCTGAAGCATAATCAATTATTTTTCATGCTCCATGTCAGTTATACTATTACTTGAATTGTTAAAATGCTGTAATTAAATCCTGTGTTTTCTTCTGGTAGACCCTACAGCGATTACACTCAGACAGACCATGTAGATACCTCCATGTACAGATCTGACAGGTGACATAGACAGAGCACTAACATTCAAGGGCTATCCAGCTTTTTTGTAAATGAGTGGGGAGGGGCACAATGTTGTTAAATGTGGCTAGTTTTAAAGGGGTTCAGTGGTCATACCGTGGAAACTTTGTTTACCTGGATGCCCAGAAAAAATATGGAATAATTATGATGATGATGATTGATGATGATGATGATGATGATGATGATGATGATGATGATGATGAAGATGAAACTTTGTTTAAAGTGAGTCCAATTTGGAATTAATGGAAAATAAATGTCCCGGTAAGGGTGCAGGGAAAAATCCTCTAGAAAAATCAGTAGTTTTGATTTGGTATAGACTAATTTGGGTTGCTATAATTATTTAGTCTTATAAAATAGTATTACTTCCCGAGAGCAAAGCCATATCTTCCCATTGAGCACAGGGACTAAAAAGCTGGAAAAAAATTTGATGGTTTTGTTTGAAGTGTATAGGCATGTTTGGTATTGATTTAATTTTAGTTATCGTTGCTTTGCATTGCATTGAAATTGTTGATTTCATCGGGTCGCCAACCCGTTACAAATCTCGACATCCCCCACCACCACTCGTCTGACACCCTGACGAGGTCATCGGACTAAATTAATATTCAAATCCAATCAAAGACGTTATTATGATTGCTGTTCCCTAATATTGTAGTCTAAAAGTATAATTTTGGGATGCCCGAAAATAGCAACTGGCAATTATGGAGCCAAATACCACTCCCCAGCAAGGGGCAGAAACTGAATCATGATGTGAACAAATTATGAAATTATGGCATCTGTGATACCCAAAAATAGCATCTGGAGACCAAGAATAGCAAGTAATCAGGGCTGGCTTTATCCGCATAAGCCTTGTCTGGTGACTAACCCCAACATTTCATACATACAGTAGTTAATTGTAATTTTATGTTTATACCTCTAAACATTGTCAAAATTACAATTTTTTTTTTTTTTTTAGGGTGTAGACTTTTCTGTTATTTGCCATTCTCTCTTATTTGATACTTTTAATTGTAATATTTCTATCTTTAATGTAATAGGCCTATGTATGTAATATTTAATATGTGAAACTGAATTTTTATGTAATTTTATGTACCGTATTGTTAATCTTTAGACATTAATTTTTATATCATTTCGTATTTTTATGACGACATTTTTTTCTTTTTTTTGGTGTTTTGACACACTGTTTTTATTTTATTTTATTTCAACTTTATTTCACAAGGGTAGCTCTAACAGCTGCACTACAGTAGTATAGCTGACTTGAAGAGGCCCTCGAAAGAAAAACAATACATAAAAATATATACAATACATTAAAAATCCAAGTAAGTAAAAGCTTCATTGCAGTAAAGTTCAAAAACTATATAATAAATAAAATATTGAATAAATATTGTAACATTCATTAAAAATACAATAAACTTTAAAATTCATTATAAAATTACAAGGTGATGGTTAAAATCAGAATTTTATTG